AGGACCACCATTAATTTCTTGTAAGGCTTTATCCAAATGATTAAGATGTTTTTACTTGGACAAAAACTTGCTGGTCTCATCTGATCTGTTCTGTTTAAGTCTGGTCCGGTCTGATAAGGAAATATGCATTTATTCTGCTCATCTAATCATTTAAGGAAACAGTGATATTATATGCCAAATATAAGGATATTGGACAAATATTATATACTCCGTATGTATATAAATTAAAGTTTGTACGATGCATCTTTAAACTTTCGATGCATCTTTAAACTTTTCTATTGCATATTAAGGTTCAAAGTATTGTATATTATCCTGCCATGAAATAAAAGTTGCATATTAACGTTGAAAAAGTTGCATCTAAAAAAACTAGAGCTTTATTACAAAAATGCTACAGAGCTTCTATAGCATTTGATCAACTCATTAGATGATAAGATGGATTTATAGTTTGTATTATGAGATGTGTGTGTTTGATTCCTTATCCATGTACATTAGTTGAAACTTTGATTACATTTTTACCAATATATCTAATTCACTAATATATTTTAAATTGCTTTTTATTTAATTTAGTATAACTAGGTTTATTTTGCATTAAAGGTGTTTCGTAGGGATAAAATAATTACTTTGCGTGTAAAGTGTAGGGACATAAAAGGTTTTCACAGGTTGTCTTGATTATTTATTGTAAACTGTAGGACACTTTTCAAAAACAATACACAATATACAATGCAAAGTATTTTACATGGAAGAGGGTAGTAAAACACTTTGCATGTTTTTCTAAAGCACTAAAATGCCTTTTGTTGGGATATTAGGTCCAGACCCAGTATCCCTAGGCCCAAATCCGGGAAGAAGCAGCGGTCCCAAGGCAGTCCAAAGAACTCCCGAACGGGATTCGGGATAAAGCTTCTACTTGGAACATTCCAGGAAACAATTATGCCAAAAGTACCAAGGCCCAGATAGCGATCGGCGTTCGGGATACTTCCACAACAAGATAACACCTATGGCGGGGTCCCACACACCGAACACCTTGCCCGAACGGGCAGTCAGCAAGTGGAGGCCGCATTTAATGCTGGATCATGGCAGCTACAAGTGGGAGGCGTGGGTGCTTACATGGCAGAAGCAATAGCCTACCAGATTCGACCACGTGTCCGCCTTACCCATCCCCATTTTAGTATAAATACCCATGTTTAGATCATTGTAAAGGGTTAGCATTTTGATACTCAGAGCTTAGCAATAGATTCATATCTCTTATCCTTGTATTCTCATAATCATCTACCGTTCGGGTAGTTCCAGTGTAATAGCATAATTATTGAATACTAGTAAGCTCCTGAGTTGGATAATATCTCACTGTTTTATATTTTATACACTTTCAACCCAACCCAATATCCCTACAATATCCAAGGCTTGTGTTGGGCTTTCAGATCTTCGGGAATAAACCTCAACACCTTTGTTTGCAAATTAAAAATAATTAAACATATAGTCAAACAATGTAATCTATTTTACATGTAAAGTCATTTCGCGTGTAAAGTTGTAACGTGTGAACTATAGCCCTTATTAAGAGAATTGATATTAATGGTGTGTTAGAGGTGTGTTAATTGGAATAAGAAAAGCTTCTACTTATGGGAGAAAGTGTAAGGAAAAAAGTACGAGTACAATATTTGGTTTCATTGTGTTATAATGTACTATTTCATTAAAAAGGTTGATACTGCATATTGATTTGTCAAAATTACAACGAAAAATATGTAAAAAAAAGGCAATAAATAGCTATAAATGTTTGATTTTAGAATTAGGTCTCAACTATGTCTAACAACACTTTAAAAAAAAACTACGTAGTATGTGTAAAGATATTTCTAATCTAATAAGATAGAGTCACATCAAGTAGAACGTCATGAAATGAAATTGGTCATTGAAATCTTCAAAGTTCAATTATACTCCTTGCATCTCTAAATTATTTTTCAGTTTTATTTTTTTGATAAAAAATTTGTGATTCACATCAATTCTTAAATACGTAGTATTTTATATACTTTTCTCTCATTTGCACAACATTATATCACACAATACTCAATATCGTAACTGTCATGTCAAATATATTTGGAAGATAATTTAAAGATGAAGAGTCTAGCTCCCTAGTCTTTATTGGTAGAAGAAACAATAAGATCATTTGGAGCGGTGTGGAGTCTAAAATGTCAAAAATGGACTCCGTCCATATGAAAACAGTGTTTTAACTTCTATTTCTCTGCATTCCAGCACCATTAATAAAATACACTCTGCATATTTTTTACATATCAATTTAGTAAATCATTAATTAAATTATTATAAGTATTATTTTCCTTTTAATTTTTTTCTCTGATTAATTATAAAATAAAAAAGACACATTTCGATGTAAAAATAATTAAACTTCATTAATATAATTTTAAGACAAAATATTATTTAAAAATAATGGAAAAATAAAATAAATTATTTTAACCGTTGGATCATTTTTTTTCCCGTTCAAACATTGTCCAAATCTTCACAACCGTTGGATCTACCAATTTTATTAAATAAATAGATGTGTTGTGGTGCTCCTTGACATAAGCCTGGCGTCACGGTGATGTCATCCGCTCCTTTTTCCTACTGCGCGCCAAAATCCTGTCACGCTTTTCCTCTGCCTGCCAACCGTGGGCCATGCCAGCCCACTCTCATTTTCTTTTGGGAAAACTGTCAAATAGGTCCTTCTACTATATCAAAAAAGTCAATTAAGTCCTTGTACTATAAAATCATCCAATTCTGTTTTCTAGCCGGTCACTCGTCGGTTAGCTGGTTAGTTCAGTAACATGTGCTCCGTATTTCCATGCTGTAATTTTATTTCCTTTTTGGAAAACCTAAAAAACGTCATTGTCGAGAAAGAAACCTTCAATAGCAATGACGAGCTTCCAATGACAGCTTACAGGTGCCGGGGCTTAAGAAATTTATATAGCAGGGGTCAAAACATAAATTTTCACTATACTTTTTACTACTTATAAATATTTACTAGTTTTTCAACGCGCGTTGCGCGTGGGGATAGTGCCCAATACCATTGACAATATAATTCCGAATCCAACAAATTCAATCAAATTAAAAGATGATTTGAAATCCCTATATATAATGCAGTGTCAACAGCCAATATCAAGAACAACGTGCGCACGTCTTAAGATTTCAAGTTGTTCCATCCAAATCTCTCTCTCACATAGTTAGAATTACCATGACACAAGTGAAACCAAAAGTTACTCACTTGTCAATAAATGATTTTCCAAATAAGCATGAACTTACATACCAAAAACTACTTGCTTGTCAGAAAATTACAATCCAACTAAAAACATCCTAATAGCATAAAAGGGGATCTATGCATAATGGGAATAGTTTAAAAGCCATTATTAATTGGAAATATTAGTATATACTACAAGCATGTTTAGTAGGCATAAGTCTTTATCTTCTAGCTTTTCTACTACGTAGTATTTAAAAAGTCTTTAAAAGTTTATAGTTGTATATTTTGCAGAACAATTTTTAAGAGCTTTATCAAAATAAAAGATCTTTTTTTAAAGGGTATATTGAGTAGCATTTGAGAAATGTCTGTAGCTTTTAACATTATTTAGTCAGAACTCAGAACAACTTGTATACCAAACATAATTAAATCAAATAATCAGCTTTTAAACATATAGTTAACAACTTCTTTTTAAGATCTTTTAATTCTTTTCAGTAATTAAAAACTAATCATTACTAAAAAGCTATAAAAGTGTCTTTTCATATAATTGTGCCAAACGTATACGGTATAAGAATGGTCAAAATGTATTCATGTCAAAGTCTTATCCCTAAAATCCATTCACACATGCGCTTTGTAAAATGGTCTTTGAGGATGAGACATGCGGCCTAATTCACATGGGATATTCCTTTTCATGAAAAGAGGTAAACGATTGTTTATTATACATATCTTTTCACTTTCCTTTTTCAGACGTAACATTTATATCTTCCCATTTCTAAATCTTCCCATCATACCCTCAATAATTTAAAAAATAATACACTACTACACCTACTTTTTTTGGATTTATCCTTCATTCCATCACATTATTTCACCATCTTCCTATCATACCCTCAATAATTCATACTCCATTTCACTATTAATCTCACCCACTTTGGAAGTGGGAAGATATATGTGATACGGAGGGAGTAGGATTTAAAAATCAAAATAAATGTTAGTCAGATTAAACTCACTAAAGAGTTAAAAAGAGAATGCAAATGGTTGGGGATTTCTTTTTAACTTAACGGAAAGCAACGCCACAAAACGGAAGAAGATGTTAGAAAGGCCAATCAATTAAAAACATACAAATTGTTATGCATATTGAACAAATTGTTATTGCTTCTTTATTACAACATTTTTTCCATTCCTAATGTATCCTTAATTACCATCATTGGTGCTTATAACTTTTTATATTTTGATTATTCTCACAACTCTCCCTTTTGTATATATTTATCCCATTTGACTCCATTCAACTTATAGAAAGTTAAAATACATGTTTTTGATCATTTCATGTCATTATTGCGGCACATTATTTCTTCATCTATGTTTGTTCGCCAAAGAAGTGTATCTGAGAGTAGCAGTGGGTCAGCAAATACAAACATTCATCCCATATAATAATAACAAAGAAGTGTTTTGTATTTTAAGAGATCATTATTTGATAATGGGGTAAATATTGAGGAAAAAGGAATCTGTCATAATTAAAACTCAAGGCCTCAAGGGGTAATTGATCGACTTTTAAAAATATAAAGCCAGACTATTACTTATGAACTAACCCTATGAGGCAACAATAATTTACCCTTTTCATTTTTACTTCACTCTTGGTTTAGGTTAGTGGGCCCCTTTACGGAGCATGCTTGGTGGTTCACTAACTTCATATGCTTCCGGCCTAACTGTTTAATTAGTAGGGAGGCTAAGAGTCGAAACAAACATGGAGTTATTAAACGGAGAAGCTGCAACACACGGCAGTTATTAACGGGAATTAAATGGAGAAGTAAAATCCTTTAAAAGAGTACACAAGGCAAAACACAATGTACCACCTCATAAAGCAAGTGATTACACCAACATTTTTTTCAGTCCTAAAATGCCCTAGCTTTCATTGACAATTATAAGATTTAATTAATTAAGATACATATATATACATCACAATTGTTTTTTTGCAGGGGCCAAGGCCGCCAGCCTCCCCCTGTCTCCACCCCTGTGAGCAATGGTGTGCGGCGGTAATGCTTCGTCGATTTCTCTATTGATGGTGAAATCCCGTCAGAGATTAAAGGGATGAGTTGGACGAAAAGGCAGGCAAGAATGTTCTTGGCGGTGATGCCTTAGCTTGGAGGAAGAGCAAAACTCTCCTCTACGTTTCCAGCTTTGTGCTTCCACTTGCTCTCGTGTTCTCTGGCATCTTTTGAATTCAGATGAATTCAGGTCTGTAGAACCAGATCTGATTTGTTTTTTCATGTGGACTGGTAATTTTGTGATGTTTTCCAACGAGGATGGGAATTTGAAGAGGACTAAATTGAGAAGAAAAAATTGAAAGCCATCACCTTGACTCATCTTCGTAGCTAAAACTTCCATCTCTGAAGCATGAGAAGAATATTAAAAAAGGATGTAGAAAAAAGATACAGATAAAAAAAAGGTAAACTTAAGAAGGCAAAAAATAATCCAAAAATTAGTTTGTTGTAACAAAAAAGCACACTAAAAAGCAAAGAGGAAGCTAAGAAGATGATTGAATCGTTGAAGACTTGAAGATGGAAGAAAGCTGAAGCCGAAGATAGCACAGTAAACCTTTGCAAAAAAAAAATGCCACCTCAGCATCCACCTAAGCAGTTGACCGGCTCACGTATAAGTAACTGGATAAAAAGATCAATTGGGTGTATTTTGATAGTTCAAGATACAATTGAATGATTTTATAGTGTAAGGACTTGATTGACTTTTTTATTATAGTAGAGGGACCTATTTGATAGTTTTCCCTTTTCTTTTCTTTTCCATTTTTTTTCTAATTGCCAATCCTCCTTTATATTTAGACCTTTCCATCCCACATCCCACTTTTACTACTTTCTATAACTCACTACTACATGAAATTAGGAGTCCAAAAATGACATTTTTGACATTTTGGACTCCTACTAACTAGTCAAAGTAGAAAAATGAAGAAAGGAATATATCTATGACTAAAAGTAGGGGTGGACGCGGTCCGATCCGGTCCAATATTTGGTCGAACCCGTACCCGTACCGTGACTTTTCAAACGGTTCGGTTCGGTTTGGTCTTACACCTAAACCCGTTCGATACGATTCCATTTTCAAACGAGATGGTATTATGTCATATCAATACCAAACAATGCCACTTTTTTCAAGTGTTAGGAAATTAAAGTTTAGTCAACCTCCAAAAATCCACACAATTAATCAATTTTCATACTCTCTCCACCCAAATTGATATGCAAAGTCAATATTTTTTGGTCAATCAATGTTAATGTTAAATCCTCTTTATTGATAATTAATTCAATTTTTAATAATTAAAAGTTACATATTCAAAAACTACATTAAAATCTCTTCAAAGTTGCAAACTCTAAATTAAATACTCCGTATAATTAAAAATTGACATGCTAATTAAGTGAATAAAATGAAACTGTTTGACAAGAAAAGTTAAGTTTGCAAATCAATTTGGGACGAAAGTAGTATTACATAATTAATAAATTTTAGATAATCTATAGTAGTACCAATATAAAAAATTAAAGCATACATCGGCCGATTTCAGGTTTCATATGAACTAGCAAAGACGGCGAAAGTGTGAAGACACTAGTCAAAGTAATCGTATAAATGCAAATTTAAATAAATAAATCATACTTCGGTCTGGTTCGATCCAGACCGGTTCTTATTTTATGAGAACCGGTCATGACATTGTTTAACATCGGTACGGTCCGATTCAGGACAAAATAATTTGAGATCCATTTCAAACTCCATTCGGTCCGATGCTATATCGGTTTGGTTCCGTACTATGCCAATTCATTATTTTTGCCCACCCTAACTAAAAGCATGTGTAAAGAATGGGAATGATTAAGGTGAACACGGGTCCATTGCCGTGCGCCAGAGGAAGGTCACTGACCACACTGGTCGTTAATTCGTTATCACTTGGTCGCAACTCGTACGGAGTATGATAGGGTATGGAACAATGAGAAAGACTTGACTTTATTAAACATTTGATTATAATTTAGAACATTTTTAATTTGAGGGAAATAATTTATTTCCCCATAAACAGAACGTGAATGAGAAAATGTAGATTTTTGGTGTATACTTATTCTTTGTTCTAATTTCTTTTACCATACAAAATTGCTTCGGTGCCGTAATCTACTCCCTCTCCGTCTGGGCGGATGCTTGCCGATAATGATATCAAACGGTTCGGTTCGGTTTGATCGCCGGTCTTTACTCGTTTTCTCCCCTTTGTCCGACTTCATAATTTTGGTTACAACAGTCTGCAGTCATTGTCCATCTAGTTAGGGTTTTAGTTCTTCCGTTGATTGATATGATTGAGCGGCTTTTCGATTTGGAATTTTCTCTCGCGACGAGTTTTTTTTGTGCGAACAAGAAACGGAGACAACAATCGTGAAATGATGACATCATCGAGTCAAGGTCATGGGCTAAACATGGGGTTAAAAGTTGGAACAAATCTGGATTCAAGGTCATCTGTGATTGGTGGTGAAAGTGGAAGCTTAACAGAGAACGTGATGAATAAGAAACAGAGTGAGGAAGAAGTTATAGTGATATTATATGCCAGATATAAGAATATTGGACAAATATTATATATTACGTAAATATGGTCTGGTCCGGGGCTGAAAATAGTTTAAGTAAAAACATCCTAAACCTCACATAAGAATGGTACATAAATGTAAATCTGCATTTATTCCGTTCATCTAATTATTTAATGAAACAATATAATGATATTATATGCTAGATATAAGGATATTGGACAAATATTATATATTGCGTATATATATAAATTGTGTATATTGTGAAAAAATTGGTACGATTCATCTTTAAACTTTTGTATTGCATATTAAGGTTCAAAATATTACATATTATTCTTCCATGATATAACAGTTGCATATTAAAGTTCAAAGATGATAAACTCATTAGATGATAAGTTGGATTTGTAGTTTGTAAATTATGTGATGTGTGTGTTTGATTCCTTATCCATATATATTAGTTGTATCTTTAAAAACATTTTACCAATATATCTAATAATATAATATTTTTTAAATTACTTTTTATATAATTTATAGTGAGAACTATGTTTACTTTGCATTAAGGGCGTTTGGTGGGAAGTAAAATAATTACTTTGCATGCAAAGTGTAAGAACATAAAATATTTTCACTGGGGAAGGGGGGGGTGGGGGGAGCCTGGAGTAATATGGGTTGAAACTCACTCCATTGAGTTTCAACCCCCTATGTGCTTAGCAGGTTTCGAACTCGATATCTCTCACTAGACACGGTAATCTCGAACTCAACCCCCTATGTGTCTAGCGGTTTCATTGTATTATAATGTACTATTTCGTTAAAAAGGTTTGATGCTCCATATTGAATTGTCAAAATTACAATGAAAAATAGGTATAAAAAAAGCAGTCTAAAGCTATAAATGTTTGATTTAGAATTATTGTAACGACGCTTTCAAAAGAACAAAAACTATGTTTAACGACATTTCTAATCTAATAAGATAGTCACATCAAGTAGAACATAATGAAATGAAATTGGTCATTGAAATCTTGAAAGTTTTATTATACTCCCATCGTCTCTAATTAAATTATTTTTCAATTTATATTTTCCTTTTTAATAAAGAATTTGTGATTCACATCAATTCTTAAACATTTTTACATATTTTTCTCTCATCTGCACAATATTCTGTTCAAAGACGAAACCAGGACACTGGATCAGACTGGACCGGTACAAAAAATATTTCAAAAAAACTTTTACATGAAATTTGTTACATTAAAATATACATGAAATTTGACCCCTCCCTAGCTACCTCCCTAATTACTACAGTATATTACATGAAGATAATTTAGAGAGAGACTCTTTTAGTCACTATTGATAGAGGAAACAATGACTGGTCAAAGGTAGAAAAGTGAACAAAGGAATATACGTAGTACCTATGACTAAAAGCATGTGTAAAGAATGGGAATGTTGAGGGTGAACACGGGTCCATTGCCGTGCGCCATAGGAAGGTCACTGACCATTCAGTCATTCACAGGTCCTTATCACTTGGTCGCAACTCGTACGGAGCATGACGGTATGGAACAATGAGAAATAAAGATTGACTCAAATAAACTTGTGATTGTAATTTAGAACATTTTTTATTTGAGTAAAATTATCCATTTCTCTATAATTTGATTCTCCAGAGAAAGAGTAAAACGGTAGGTGAATACAAATAAATGTAGTACCTCCGTCCCACTATGATTGAGACGGAAGAAGATGACACAATTATTAAGAAAAGTGGGTTTGTGTGGTTAATATTAAATTGATAAAGTAAGAATAAAGTAAGAATGATTTAGAGCCACACAATCTTTACCAAATTTGGTATGAGACAATCTTAGTGGGACTTCCCAAAAAGGTAAAATGTGACAACCTTAGCGAGACGGAGAGAGCATATTTTTTGTGTATATTTATTCTTTTTCCTAATTTATTTTAGCATACGAGTATGCGACATCATGCATGCTCTTTTGCCTTGAAGTATTTTATTAGTCGGTGACGTAACTGGATTGATAGATAGGGAGTGCCACATAGTGGTGGATTGGGCCCGGTCCGGTTCCGGTTCGGGCCTAAGCCCGGCCGAGCCTAAAAGGTGTTGGGTAAGGCCGGGACCGGCTTGGTAGGCTACCGGTTCTGGGCCGGTTGGCGTTTTGTTGTTTGTGTTTTATTATTTATTTCAACCCCTACCCCCATCCCCCCACCCCCAAACCCCTCAGAATCACCCAACCCAGCCCACCTAAACCTAGCCCAAACCCAAAAAAAAGGCCCGAACCGGCTGGTTCGCTATTTTTGTGCCCCGGGATCGCCCCCGGTATGCTCTCCGGGTCGGGCCGGTCCCGCACAGTAGCGTGTCGGGCCCGTCCGGGCCAGTCCGGGCCGGTCCCGCACAGTAGCGTGTCGGGCCCGTCCGGGCCAGTCCGGGCCGGTCCCGCACAGTAGCGTGTCGGGTCGGTTCCCGCGCAGTAGCGGGCTGGGCCGGTTCCTGGACCGGTCGGACTGGACCGGTCGGACTGGACCGGGTCCATGACTAGTGCCACAAGGGTAAATATCGAAGTCAATTCCCGCCAATTGTGATGAGAAGTCATTGTGTAAAGATGCATATGATATTTGCCAGTAGTTAGGTCAGAGCACAACTCACTGTATATCAACTTGTAATTAAAGTCTAATTCACATTCTGTTAATTAACTGTTCGACCAGTACTGGAGGTTCTCAGGGACGAGGTGTCATCCTTTAAAATGTTTTACTAATTTAATTTTGTGTCAACATAATTTTTTCTTTGGAGTTGTGGGAGGAACATGAGCACGAGGGCCTGGGTGGAGATGTCACGGCTCTGGATGAGTCAAAAAACGGGGAGGAGACGGATCCAGAACACTAGACATGCGGGGCCCGGGATGGGTAAGGAAGTTTAAACATTAAACTTTAATGACAAGGAAGGACAACAAGAGTTTCTTGTGGTTCTCAGAATGCAGCTAAAGTATAATAATGTTACTTTTATTACTGTTTTTTTCTTTGATCAGACTGTTTTTGTTTTCGTTGTTTACTTAGGATTGAGTAATGAGAGGTCTGTTTTGACATTTTTGGCTCAGTTATGCCCATTATAAGATCAACGAGTCATATTGCTTTATGAAAGGTGACTGACTCTAAGAGTCGTTTG